CAAAGGTATTTCTGGTTGGGTTTTCCCAGATGCTTTGAGATGGAATTGAAGAAATGAGCAGCCCAATTTACCTTAGACTTGGTAATGAGGGCATTGATGATGAAGGCCCTCTCTTGGGTGATGTCATCAGCATGTCCTCCACTTCCACATTCGAGGCATGCGATGACCAGTTCAAGGACTAGCTTGTAGTCGTTGTTCAGATTAGTTTTCTTTGCTGGGCCAGAGGGAGCTTGCCCAGAAATTCCTATAATGTTCCAATCCAGATTCTTGGCTGGAAGTTTCCCAATTTCAACTCCAGAATTGGGAAGGTGAAGCTTTTCTCCCAATTTCTTCTGCGAAAGCTTCACTTTTGTCCCTCCAACAGTGGAATTGATGACTTGAATCGTCCTTTGTGGGTCCTTGTTCGATTTGACAGTCTTGACCTTTCCATTCTTGTAGAATTCAAGAACTTCGTTCTCATACTTGAATCGAATCTCCATATGAAGGAATTCGGAGAGCTCTTGAGCAGCAATCATCTCCAGATAGGATTGATAGAAATTTGGTGAGGAGCACTTGCCTTCCAACTTCTGGAAATGGATATTAGCGCCAACAATCTTCATTTTCTCAGAAATTTGAGTGAGAAGATCTGAAGAAATTAGGGTTCTTTAGAATTTTATCAGAAGGTTCTCGTGAAGAAGACGATGAAAAATTTGAGTGGGCTGAGTGGGCAGTTGAGGTCTGATTATAGTGACGATTGGGTTTAATTTGGGCGATTTATGCGGCTAGTGGCGATTGGGTTTTTAACTGTTCCCAAGGCCACGTTCCCACCCACAATTTTGACAGACGTGGAAATGAACTGCCACGTGTACCTCACTCAGTCTAATTGAATTAGACCAATTTTGTGAAGCAAATCGGAAAACTTGGCTTCACTTAGTGGTTTTGTGAAGATATCCGCCAGTTGTTTTTCAGTTGAGATATACTCAATTTTGATATCTTTCTTTTCCACCTGATCTCTGATGAAGTGATGCTCGACATCAATGTGCTTAGTGCGAGAATGATGCACTGGATTTTGTGAGATGGCTATAGCACTTTGATTGTCACAAAAGATTGTCACTTCCTTTGTCTTGACTCCATAGTCCAGTAGTTGTTGCTTCAGCCACAGAATTTGAGCACAACAACTACCAGCAGCAATGTACTCTGCTTCTGCTGTTGATGTAGAAATGGAGTTT